ACGCGTCGCGGAGATAATCGCCGATAAAGATGACAGACCGGGTATCAACCGGCGATATCGAAATTATCGAGAACCGAATCAGACCTATCCCTCCGTATCATCGACGTTCATGCAACGAATCTTAACACATTCGTTCCATAATCAGTGGCTCGTTGAACGCTTTAAAAAACGTATATGTATATACTCGAATAATTTTAGCCTCCGTGAAAATAAAGATTCTAATCGATGAAAATTTGTGTTTTCGGCAACGCGGGTTGCACCGTCGTAATGGTAATAATTTCGTCAACATTTGTCAACGACGCGGTTCATACATCTGTACCGATCGGTAACTGACGCGCTCCGTTCGCGGAGATCACATTTCACCGCGAGCCTGAAAGGGTTAAGCGTTATCGGGAAGTCTAATAAATTCTGCGTGCGTTTCCACGAACCCGCCGGCTATTCCGCAATCGCGGCTTTCCTCGGCGGACCGCGAGAGGGAGGAAGAGGAGGGGGCGGCGGTGGAGGAAGAAGAAGAAGGAGGAAAAAAAGGAAAGAATTCCTCCGCTTTCTCGGACCGTCTCAATTACCCGCGAAGGGAAAACGCGAGCGTGTCGGCCAAATAAAACGCGCCGCAGGATCCTGTTTTTCCGGGTGGCTGTCCGGCAGCGAGCGACTGGCGTGATGTAATCAAACCGGCACTCACCAATCGATTCCATTAAACAGCGCATTAATATTCATTACCCGCTCATCTGCTGAAACGTCGCTCTAATGCACTAATTATCGTCGATCGGAAAAATAGAATATCAAACGCGGATCCGGACGCGGCGCAAGTTCACTACGCGCTCGGGCTCGGCGCGCGCGCTGCGAACGGCCGACGCACGCGGACAGATTTGCGTAAGACGTCTAATCCATAAGTGACTCGGCCAATCATATACCTTGCATAAGGATCCGAGGTCCCCGTGATTGGCAGATTCGCCTGCCCCGTTACGTCTCCGCGAACTTACGTAAAACCCTTCCGCGCGGTATGATCGTGGAACCGGCAAGAATCGCTGCGAGCAATGTCGTTTTTTTCTCTCTCTTTTTCACTTCGTCGTCTTCTTGTTCGTGTTCTTTCTCGTCTTCGTTGTCGTCGTCGTCGTCGTCGTCGTCGTCTTCGCGTTCTAGCCGAGTGGAATCGATCTTACGACGATAACGCGCAACGGTTTTAATGGATTTCGTTAACCCCTCGCCCTGTGATTCTCTTTTTACCGCGAGCACGCTGGACAAATCCACTTCGGCGTTAATTATTTCCTAGACAAAAAACGAATTCCGCGGTCACGGTACGTCTGGATTTACTTTGGCCGAGCGGCATCGATAACAAGGAGACGGTGGTTCACGCCCGACGAGATACGTCCGTCTCGAAGTCGGCTCGACGCGTCGCGGGGAAGAATGTGGAGCAGTCGCCGACACGAGAAAACGGAAAACTGTACCGTACGTTGCGAACAAATAGAATGTACGGTGATCTCCGAGGCATCGTTTAGATTGATGAGGTTAAATTAAAACTGCCAATAACGTTTCAATTATCCACGATGTTTCGTCTCGCGAGTATACGGTTTATCCTCCGGATCTATGAATTAATTACGGAGCCTCGGGAATATTAAACAACAGCTGAAAATATCTTTCTCGCCCCGATAAGCCTGTTCCCGTTCGCCCGATAAGATTAACACGGCCGATTAACGAAATACATGCGGAAGATATTCGAAATAGCTGTTCTCCCCGAGTCCCGTCGATCTCGGCCGACGTCACATCCTCGACGTAACGCCGGTGCGTGGTCGATCGGAAGGAGTCACGTTCGCCGGCGATCACGCGACGAATCTCTCGAACAGAGAATTTCCCTTAAAAATTACATTCAATTATCCGACGCGGGACACGATAATTACCGGGGATAAAAAAGAGCCCGTACGTAACGCAGCCCGTTCCGCGTCGCTGTTACGATCGCTCTTAATCCTCGAGCGGATCGCGGAGAGCCACGGATACTTTAGATAGAGTATTCCAGCCGTTTTCAAACTCGAAAGCTATAAAACCGAGCCCATTACCATTCGTGGTCTCGGGCCATCAATCGTCTCGGGCTAACAGGATAAATCAACGCGAGAGGTCCGCGAGAGCGAGGGACCCAGTTCGACACGGCGGACTCGCGAGGAAAACGGCGACGGGTCTCGATTTCACCTGGACGACTCAATCCCGGCCGAGAACGCGGCGCGTACACGATCGGTCTGTAAACACGAGTTTATCAACGGCGGAGGAAATGAACGGGGCTAAACGCTGCACCACGGAACGGTCTCTCCGCTCTCTCTCTCTCTCTCTGTCTTCGTCCTTCTTCCATCCTCGTCCTCTTCGTCTTCCTCTTCTTCCTCTGACTCCTCCCGGGACCATTCTGAGAAAGCGCTGGAATCCGCTCCGGGTTCGGGACCGGGGCACACGACGAGTGGACAAATTACAGGGTGCGCGAAATAATGAGGCTCCCGTTCTAGGATGTGTACCAGAAATCGGGCCATCTCGCGGTTATAAATCACACGGAACACGGCCCGGCCGTTTCGTAAAACGGCCAATTGACGAGCGCACTGCCCCGCTCGACGAGGAAGCGTGCCACGATCCTTCTCGTCCCGTTCGCTCTGCCTCGAGTCGTTTCTGCGACGCAACCGACCCGCTTTTTCCGCGTCCGCGCCGATCGACGTCACGGAGATCGATCCGCGATAACGTAATCGATGTCCGGCTTATCGGGACGAGTTGAACTTGAAACGCTGCCACGATAATTGGAGGCGCTTGTACGCTGGCGGCGACGTTATCCGTGCAGCGCGGAGAACTTGCTTTCTCGAAACAGTAGAATCCGGTGAAGAGTGTTTTGATAGTGCGACTGGTACGCGCAGATTTATCCGGGGCCATCGAGGTCGTTTCGAGTGTTTCGCTGGTCGACTTAGAAGGGGGACCGTGTTATGGAGGAACCTGTAGAACCCGGTCGCCGCCTGGGGTATTCGTTCGACGGAGTCGAATGAAATAAACGAAATGGAATAACGAAACGGAATTGATCCGAGATTTTTATGAGCCATTCGGGTGATGCAATTATCACTTAATAGTGCCGGGTAAATAGATAATAGGTGTACTTTTGTGACCGAGTGTACACCAGTGTTCGGAAACTTGAAAAACAACTTAACACGTTTACGACCCGGATGGCATGATTAAAACGGACTCGACGCTAGAATTCCGGGAGACATAAAATTTTCTAATCGCCGCGCGTTGTGTACGTTGTCGCGTGTGAAATAAGGAAATCTCCCGCGACCGCGAAGGGCGCACCGTAGGACTGTCCTTATCGAATTTCGAGTTGCCCGCGGCGCGTTTATTAATCGCGGAATATCGCGCGCATTACCGTTACTCGTAATTTTGCAATCGCGTCAGGTACACCGGTCCGTAATGGAGATCGACAGTGGCGTGTCCGGGTATCGAAAACGAGAATTGCGTAACGCAATATATCCGCGGCATGATATACGGGAATTTTTAATAAACTCTTTTTAATTAAAAGTCGCTGCGCATAATCGACCGACGATCGGAACGCCCGGGGCGAAGACGAAAAAGAGGCGAGAAAAGAATGGCGGGAAAAACCCCGAACGAGAGAAAAAGCTGGCAGAAAAAGGACAAGGAAGTGAAACACAGCGGTGCGCGTCTTTCTAAAAGTGAATTTCGCGTCGTAAAGTATAGGCCGCGTTTATTCATATGGAATGCAAAACCGCGGCCGTTGGAAAACGTGTCGATTATCGACCACGTTAACCTCGCGTTAATGTTATTCTGCTGGACGCGTAGTAAAAAGCGGCTTCGTGACGCTAAAGAAAACTGGTCGCCGCGCGCGCGGCGAAAGATCGAAAGCTGGGACGACGACGCGTCGCGTCGCGTCGCGTCGTTCGCCGCCGTTCACCGGAGAGAAATGAACGTTCGCGGGTGGTAAATCAGCCGAATTCGGCCGCGACGAATCGCGGCGAGCCGCGGGATTCGTTCGGCGCCGAGGGAAAACTTCGAGACGCCGGCGACGGGAAAACTCCGGGCGCACGAAAGAGCCGGTCGGGGGCCCGACGAATATTTAAAAACTCGCTAATCCCGCGGTGCCGAGTGAAGCGCGACGAATCGCAATGAAGAAACGAGCGCGTAACGCGTCATGAATTTTCATGTAAATCACGCGGCCATTAGGATTTATCAAACCCCCATTGTTACGCCGCATTCCGCGGCCCGGAGTTACGGGCAGATTAACAGGAAGATAGAAGAACAGCCGTATTAACGGCAACATTGAAGGATTGTTCGGTGTGTAATTGACCCCCTCCCCCGGCCGCCGACCGCCCGAGTAGCCCGCGATAACGCGGTTTTATCTTGTTTTGATTTTAGAGACCGGCTTTTATTGCGATGGGGATGGCTACACGGCGGCCCGACCGAGTTCCTTCGCGTGTAAAGCCGTCTTTTTATGGAATTATTCTAACTTCGCGATTCCCTTCTTACACCGGCGCACGATTATCGCTCCTACCCCCCCTCCGCCCCTCTTCGTTCGCCGGTTGATTACCAGCTGATTCATTATCGACCGCTATCGCGTCGAAAACACGTGCAAGGAGGCGCTAATGTCTAAAACGCAGGCTATCGTAACAGTATCGCAGGAAATACTCTTGTGCCTTTAGCTGAATACACCGATTATCTCTTTTTATACAGAGGCGAAGAGAACGGAGCCTAATAAGCAAAGACTTTAACATTTCGAGCCGACTGAGCACTTTACCCGCGGCTAGGAAAATATCGAATCAAAGGTGCTCCCAACGCGTAGCCGTACGGATATTTTCAATGACGGCTAGATGTTTTCTGCTTCGCTGACGTTGAAACAGCCTTTGGCGATCTCGTCCTTACGCAATAACAATTCAACGCGATCTATATATCCTTGTTTATACGTACGTCTGCGAATGTTGCGTAATTAAAGACAATGGAGGCGGTAATTTGATTAAGAAGTCGAGACTTACCCGTAGATCGCGTCCTTGTCGCGTTTGTGTACGTCGGGCACCGCGGACGCAGCTGCCGCGGCCGCAGCCGCGAGAACGTGCTGGGGTGGCTGCGGCGGGGGTGGTGGATACTGGGGGTGTGCTGGTCCCATACCCCCGAGGTGTGGACTGTGATGGAGGCCTGGCACCCCTCGGGCGCTCCCGTGCGGATCGTACAGCCCTGCGCCGCCGCCGCCACCTCCGCCCTCGAGGTAACCACCGTGCAGCCCGCCATCGTCATACTGCAAGGGAAACAAAGCAAAAAAGAAGGATAGGAATTAGTGTGAATTCTCGATCAATGCGCGGTTATTAACGCGGGACCTCGGCCGGCAGATGTTCCGTTTGCTCGAGGAAACAGCGAGTAGCCATCGGAACGGTGGTAATTTATGATCGTGCCAGCTAAATCGACTAATTGGTCCTTGGATCGTTAGAACGGCGAGCGGTTTCGAAGCTGCAACGTGTTATTAAACGAACGCCAGCTTGCGACTTTATAACGATAGTTCCGTGTTCTTGCGCCGATCGTCGCGAACGCGGTTTCCGTATCAACTGCACCGCGAACTCAACAAACTATACGAATACGTTTGAAACCGACCGATAAATAAAGAAAATTTCTGTCAACGCTTAACCGCCGAGAAAATCGTATATATCCTGAGCGTATCTAAATCCGTTTCTAACCAAATCCTGCACAAATTCAACGAGAAAGTACTCGCGATGCTATAACAAGATGCATGTCGCGTTTGATAGTGTTCCTGGAAACCGATAATTTTCGAATTTCAAAGTGGAGAATAAATAAAGACAACCGTAAATTCATGACGTAGTACATTAAAAAATATGGTTGGTCTTTTACACATTGTTACATATTTATTAGCCTGTTTATACGAAAAAGCGTAAGGAAAATGCCGCGATCGTTTTCCTTGAATACCAGAACGAACGCGACAAAAAGCCTATCGTGCGATAAAGATTCCGTCTGATTACGTTTTCATGAATTAACGCTTGAAGCTGTGCAATTTATGGAAATGGTCATAGACAGTTCGCGGATAACCCAACGAAATATTTCGTTGGTGTTCCGTTGCCGCGATTCTCCTGAATATTTCGTGTTCGTTCGGGGGATCGCTCAGTCTGCTCGTACGGCGCGATAATCGCGGTAAGTTACCCTCCCCCTCCCTCCCAGCACTGTTGATTAAGGCACACACCGGACGAACAATGTCCGATATCAAAGGCCGCAAACGTGCACCTTTGTCCCGCGTCGCTTTCGCTGGGAGAATGTCACCGGTTCCGTAAATACACCGCAGGACCGATGTACGGTTCTCACCGTTTATCCTAGCCTCCATCGATTCCGCGGTTATTTAGGTAGTAAAAATAGATACCACCGTCCTTGCTTCGAGCATAGTGCGGTTCGCGCGAAAATAGGCGTGCTTTATTTCCACTGAACGAGACAGTAGATGTCAACGCGGAGAAATCCACGTAATTCAATGGGCAGAAACGTCGGTGAACACCTTCGACGGTTCGATTCTTTTTTATTCTCCTGTCTGGTCCAGCGTTTCCAACGTATTCCTCTGAAATGTTCTCGGCTAACGAAACGAGACGCAGTTCGGAACACGAATTTTAAATAAAGAACACTGCGGGGGTGTTTAATTCCCTTCGGCTCCGGGTCGATTCGACGTTAGAAATTGTTTCCTTCGTGGCCGGTCGTAAGAAGCAAGTGACGCCTCGCGAAGAAAGAGAAATTGGTACACGCCGCTAAACTGAACGATCCACCTTTGGACCACATTAACACCGAGAATCTTCGCTCGCGATCTGGGGAATTCGATCGAACGTACGATCCAAGTTTCGAGGGGCTTTAGCGGCGAAGGCACGCAGCAGTTATATCTCTCGTGCCAAATACCGGAACGAAAACTATCAGTACGCATTCGAGACAAATTGGAGTGCTTGAACACGGAATACCACCTTCGTCGATGCCGAAAATAATTGCGGTTCCGTGCGTCGCGCGGGTACGTATGCAAATTCGCGGGACTTTTAAACGCGTTATCGAGAGGAGCTCGGGGCCCTGGATCGAGGAAGTAAAATCGCACCGGATGATTGAGGCTAATTACGGTGTCGCGGTGAAACGTTAGTCGAAACTTCGGCATCGAAGCGAGCGCACAAAGGAAATGCAAATTCGAGGTGGACGCGGAATGCGAATGGACAAATTCCTGCGGTATATCGACAGGCGAGACTGAGGGCTGGCTCTTCGGCCGTGTCGGGTAGATCGCGACGGCCGCGGATCGATCGGGGAGCCAATGATTTTCCTGACTTGTCGCATCTTGTACCTTGTCACGGTGGTAATACCCCGGAAACGAAGGCACGCCGATTATTACTGCTAATTACGCGGCTCGGCCGTCGGGAGACTCGGATAGCCGGCAATTTTATCGTGGAAACAGAAGAGGAACAACGCGCG